CTCCCCGCTCCGATCCGCCAGCGCTGACTGGCGGAACGGACAGGGGAGGAGGCGGATACAGCTGGCTCTGCCTCTAGATAGGCAGAGCCACCTGTCACTCCCGATGTCGGGATCCACCCCGGCTGCGGCGTCTCAGTACAGCGGTATACTGAGCTTAGGGTAACGGGAGGACGCTAGTTTGTGTCCTCCCGTTACCCTAAGGAGAACTATGGGGAAAAACACTGACCCCATAGTTCTCCTTTAATTTCAGCCTATATCTGAGGTTTCTCACACAAGAAAAATGCTGGCTGCCAGATCTTAAAGGTCAACTACACCCAAAACTAATATTAAAATGTTTTCAACGCACAGCAATTTGATTCACAAAGCTGATTTCTTATATATCCCAGGGATGCCATTGGGGGGTAAAAAGCAAATAATGTGGGCCCATCAAAGAAACAGTGACACCACTGAAGTGGGGGGCGGAGTCATAGACATCGAGAAGGAAGTCTTGCCAATGGAGTCTCCAAGAGATCAAATAAACCCACCCATTGCACCTCCTTCTAAAAGTGAAATAAAATAAAATACAGCAGAGGAAGCCACCCGAATGTCAACAGCACGCGCCACATACAACAGCGGTGAACGGGAAAGTAAACATGTATAGGTGATAAACTGCAGCGGTAAAAAAAAGCAAATCGTATTTATTTGTTAGCTCTGGCTTTAAAATACCTCTCGACAGGGGAGCACTTTAGAACAGAGCATAATGGAAATAAAATGATCCAGTTGCCAATTTATCTAGTAATACGGGCCAATTTACCGCAGCAGTATGCATCTGCGAGAAGACTGACGAGTAGAATATGAGCCGAGGAAAATATTTCCACTTTTTTTTTTTTGGTTTTAAAGGCCAAACGCCTCTCCAGCTGTTTACTAAAAGAATGGAACTGGTGGGGGCTGTGTGATCTCTAATTCCTCATTTATATTTCATGGACGGCTCTTGTAAATAATATATCTGTGGGCTTTTAAGCTGTTAGAGCTCCTAATTTGGAGTTGCCAGAGACAAATGAGATGGAAAATCCTTACAACGGCCAATTATCCATGATTTATATAGGTGCCGTACCTCCGGCACTGGGCTGGCGTCTTTCCCTCAAAGCTGTTGCACCAGCAGACTTCCAGCTGACACTCAGCGCAGATTGACTGAATCGCTACATGGTGTGGAAAATGCCCCATTGCACCGCAGGGCCTAGAACTAAATTGACCAAAAAAAGTTTGAATAACTTCTCATTAGCCATTGTGCAAAGAAGCTAAACGGGTCCTGGAGATTTACAAAGTGTTCTAACTAAAAGCAACCAACCAGATTCCTGTTTACTGAAGATCAGTGGAAGATGGGTTCTAACTGATTACCATTTGCTACTGACCTATATGAAAAACTCTTGCAGACTGTCAGCGTGTTCATAACATACCATAAGCAACTCAGATCGATCCACACAAGGTACGGTGTATTATAGGATAGAAGATGGAGGAGTATTGGTGTTTCCTAAAACAAGTTCCAACCAGTCAAGTCAAAGGTTAACTCTTACGAAAACTTTCTTTTTAGGCTTGTACAGAGCTGGAAAAGATGGTCCCATAACTATGGGCCGCTTGTTGTTTTTAACTGATCCCTACAATGATAAGGCTCTAAATGTCCTAAAGGCAACTAACCATTAGTAATGGAACTACAGACCTTCCAAGTTTAACTTACCATCAATGATGGGGCTGCATTCCTTCCACTGATCACTAATGATGGGGCTATTCTTTTTTTTAATGACCACTAATGATGGGGCTGCATTCCTCCTATTAAATATTAATGATGGGCTACATTGCTTTCACTGACTACCAAGGATGAGACTACATTCCTCCCACCGTCCATTAATGATGGGGCTACATTAATGCCACTGAATATCAATGATGAGGCCACATTCCTCCAACTGACTACTAATGTGGGGGCTACCTTCCTCTACTAATCACTAATGATGGCCTATATTTCTTATACTGACCACCAAAGATGGGGCTACATTTCTTCCAGTGATCAATAATGATGGAACTACATTTTTTTTCCACTTACCACCAACTATGTGGCTATATTCTTCCTGCTGACCACTAATCATGGGGCTACATTCCTCCCACTGACCACTAATGTCAGGTCTACATTCCTTCCACCGAACACCAGTGGTAGAGATACATTCCTCCCACTGATCACCATTGATGGGGCTACATTCCATCCACTGACCAGTATTGATGGGGCTACATTCAGCAAGGTGGCTACACTCCTCCCACTGACCACTAACAATGGGGCTACATTCCTCCCACTGATTACTAATGATGGGGACACATTCCTTTCACCTACCACTAATAATGGGGCAATATATTCTGATTACTGAACACCAATGATGGAGCACCATTCCCAATGACAACTAATTTTGGGGCATTTATTATTCCTACAGATGCCAGGGCATTTATTATTCCCACTAAACACCTGGGCATTTATCACTCCCAATCAACACAGGGACATTTGTTACACCTTCTGACAGCTTACGCTGGGGCATTTATTACTCCCACTGACCGACGGTGCTTGGGCATTTCTTACTACCACTATCATTGACACTGGGGCATTTTTTACTTCCACTGACCAGTGACTCTGGAGATTTTTTTTACTTTTACTGACCTCCACTGGAGCATTTTTATCAGCAGCTCTGGTCACCCTCTGGCAACCATGGTGGTGGGTTAAGTGGGTGCTGTCAATGGCTGACAATCAGGCAAAACCAGCCAACCAGTTGCTCTTCCTGAACTCAGATCCTGCCCTTCTGAAGCGCCCGTTACAACTCCAAAGTGAAGAATGTGCATCTTAATAATGGTCTTTAAGTTGTTGCATGAAAGCAGAAGTTATATAGTTATTTAGCTTTGTGCTTTTTGACATCCCCTGGATTTCAGGTGTCCCTATATCTTTTGCCTTGTGCTGATGGTGGTAGCCATTCAAGGGTTTCTCTATCTTAACTTTTATTCTGAAATTAGAACCCAGTGCTTGGAAGCCGATGCTGACCTGCAGTTCTCCCGTCTGGACCCTGTTGATCAGCCTCAGAACTCCAACACTCTAAATGGTTAGACCTCTTGCCCACCCACATCACTGCCTAAGAGGAAGAGATTCCTACTGTTCTTGATGAAAGTGGAACAACACTTTAATTACTGCCCAACATCAACAGCAAAACACACATTGTCCACTTACCCTGTGCTTCAGAGTCTGTTTGTTCTAGAAGTGATGGACCTTAGGTACAATGCTTGAACATTACAATCACAGGTTTGCAAGCCCCAGAGCGATTCTAAGACTACGTAGGTGATAAGATGGCAGTCAGCAAGGAGTGTCTCAGACATTAAATAATTTATTAAGAAACCAAGTTTCGGGAAGCAGAGACACTTGTGTCACTTAAATAATGAACTGTGAAAACAACTTACTGTAAGTGTTGCAGTAAGGCTCTGAAACTAATATGGGAAGGGTTTTCTGTCCCTTGCGCTGGTAATACATGAAGCTTAAGGACAGAGAAATGATATACTGAGGCACTTAACTTTTTTACTATATCAGGCGCAGAGGAGGCGATGGCTTTGCCTGGAGCTCGCACATGAAATGTTTGGAATTTAGTAAACTTGTTTATGTCATGTACGGGAGCACATAAAACCTGTTCCATCAAATGTAAGGTCAAGGGAAAATTAAAAAAACATCCATTAAGTCCATATTAATGCACTAGTAAAAGCTCGAGTTATTTTTAAGAGTTGCCATGACTAAATATATATAAACCTGGTTTGTATTGAACTCCAGTCATCCTTTGCACACCAGTTGACATTTCTGTTCCACTGACAATGAGAATGTCTGTACTCACTGCTGAATGGGATGAAAGGGGAAGAGTATATGCTGTCATCCTGTCTGCATCGCTGATAAGTCTCAGGCATTGGTGTTGCGTAGACAAGAGTAAAGAGTCAGACTCCAATAAAAGAGATAGAATTAAATCAAGGGGAATATAAACCTTTCATAGGAAATACTGTGTAGATGTCATAATTTGAGATGGAAGATTCAGATTCTTCTATAGGCTCATTTATTATTTGCTCTCTGTGAGCCGTCATCCAATTTTCCAACATCTTTCTACCCAATTTAGGCCAACCTGCGACTGTTGTATAAAAGCGTATCATCCACTTTCATAAACAGGCAGGTCTTTAGATTCCAGCAATGTGAAAGCTTTTACATTTGCCCACTCTCCAAAATGAAAGGTACATTATTTGACCAATAGGATGTGGTCACCCGTTCAAATGTTCTGGTGGGTCCAGTACGGGTGCTGTTAAAACTACAGTGTATTGTACAAAGACATTTTAAAGGACTGTGTGCTTCCAAACGTTTGGAAACAGTTTGGGGAAGATCTTTTTTTCCGATTCAGTAGGACTGTGCCCATATGCATGAAGCCGGGAACATACATGGTTTGATGAGTTTATGTTGAAGAATGCGGACTTCCTGAACAAAACACTTATCTCAATCTAACTGAACACCTTTGGGATGAAAGGGAAAACTAACTGTGAGCCAATTCTTCAAGTCCAACCAGACCTCATAAATGTTCTTTTGGCTGAATTACCAGAAATTCCCACAAATACACAAAACCTTGTTTAGGAGGTGGTCCTAGGCACAGAGCTATGTCCAATGTCATATCAATGGTTTTGGAATGGGATGGGATCTCCAACAAGCTCATATATTGTAGGTGTGATGGTCAGGTGTCCTTAACGTTTGACAATATTGTGTATTAGTAGCTAGCAAATGAAATAACAAGTGAGCATTCATCCAATAATGAAACAATAAAGATGGATTAGACCTTTAACTAGAACTGCCTTTAACTTGTAATACTTCTGCTTCACTATCCCAGACAGGTTTACGTCTTTGTAAAGATAATTCATTGTTTTAACTCTTTCTTTCTTTTTTCTCTAGAGCAATACCTGAACGAGCCACCTGGATGTAGAGTCAGATGTTAAATGCCCTACTCAGTCACATGGGATGTATTTTTTGCTGTTCACTTATCAGCCTCCAACTGTGATCCATCTGAAAGATCATCTAGAACTACAGAACACACCTGAATCTATAGTTTACTGACCAAGAAATAACAGATGTTGAGGAACATTATAAACTCCTTGGGAGCTACAGCTGGTGACCAATGGGATCGTTTTTCTTGGTCGGCTTACCAGTATAATACATTATTACTCATATACAATGCCGGTTTCTATAATGGCCTCCAGTGCCATCATATCCCTCTACTGGGAGGTTTTCCCTCCAATGCCCACCTGTCGGGTCTACTGCACACCAGCCTATCAAGAGGGGCATTTATTTGTCATGGGAGGATGTAGCAAAACAGGACTTCCTTTGGACACTGTAGAAATGTTGGACGTGGAATCCCAGACATGGGCAGTGCTACCTCCACTCCCAACTCCCCGGGCTGGAGCTGCTGCTGTCACCATGGATAAACAGGTTCTGGTGGTTGGCGGAATGAATTCAGAACAGTGTCCATTGCCATCTGTGGAGATATACAACAGTGATGAGGGAAAGTGGGAAACAAAAGCACCACTGTGCCAACCATCCATGGGCATCAGTGCCATAGAAAAAGGTGCGTACTGGTTTTTGGTTATTGAGTTTCACTTTAGAGCGTATCCTGTGCTCACAGCAAACTTGTTAAACATCCACTTCTGCGCAAACTGCCAGCTAAAAATTCTGATTATTTGATTGTTCTGTATTATGGAGAATAATTTAAAGGGGTCCTGTAAAATACATTTTACTATTAGGATGTCCTGATAGTCTGATACCAACAAGTGAACCAACAAACTGGTAGAATTGTAAAATGTAAAGACATTTGGTTCTTTGACCACCCTTACAGTGCCCATAGAATGCATTAACTTATCATGTCTTAATCATGATATGATCTATTTGAACCTGCCTATAAAAAAAAGAAAAATCCAAGAATGCAGTCATGTGACCAGCTGTGACCTCAACCACCCATGTGTATGCCTCCACCATTCCACAAAGAGCATTTAAATTCCCCCCATGAATATACAGTATGTAAGGCCTTGCATCAGATGGCTCTGTAGGTCTGTGTTGATCATTATTGAATAGTTTCTCAAATAAAAACCTGTGCCCAAGCACTGCAATATGTATGCCGAACCCCTTAATATTGAAACATTCTTACTTTTGGGAAGAAAAACATCCTTCTTAACAAGGGTGTTTATATTCCTGTGATGCTGTACTGTGGGTAAGCGTCAACCTACATGCTATCATAGAGATCTTGATGTCTGATAGGAAACCGGTCATTGCAATACAATGTACACTATGGGGTCTATTCACTAAGCTGCCGTAGGCAGCCGAGTGAATGACCGACCTGAAGTGAAGTGAGCCGAACACTGTTCGGCTATTCACTTCAGGCTGGTACGGCTGATTTCAGCCATACATCGGCTTGCTTCACATGGCTTCGGGTCGGCCGAACATGCTTAGCATGTTCGGCCGACCCAAAGTGCAGAAGGAGTTCGACTCAGCCGATCCAACATATGGATCGGCTGAGCCGAACATCCGGCAGGCTACTCACTGCTGTTTGGCCTATTCTTATAGATGCCGAACAGCAGTGAGTGAATAGCCGAATGCCTCAGAGGGACCGAGCAGAACAGAAAAATAGTTTAAAAATAGCTTCCTATTGTCCGGCGGCTCTGCTGCCATCAAAAAAAAAAACGAAAAAAAAACCTCTCCCGGGCGCTCTGGGAGCCTATTTATTGCCTATTTCAATTTGCAATAGCCAATAGTAAACTAGCATTGTACCCGCCCTCTGCTGATGGACCTGATGGAGAACTGCAGCAGAGGGCGGGTACAATGCTAGTTTACTATTGGCTATTGCAAATTGAAATATCCAATAGTAATGTAGCAATGTATTTCAATGGGAAATTTTTTTTTTTTTTCTTCTATTAATAAAGAAAAAAAAAGACACATCAGTGCTTCTCTCCTGGGCGACCGGGAGCAGGAGACTCCCGGGGCACCAGGGAGAGTTAGCTGTTTGGAGATCAGTGTCCCTGGTTAGCAGGTAACCAGGGACGCTGATCTCTCTGCAAGTGGCCGGAGCCAGCCGTAAGATCACGGCTGGCTCCTCCCAGCTGTCAGATGGCCAGCCGCTCGGCCAGCTTTGGCTTTCAGCACGGCATGCATATGCGTCCGGCTCGACTGAGCCGCTCGGCCATGTTCGGGAGCTGTACAGGCTATTGTGAATAGCCCGTACAGCACCCCTTCGGTTCTACTGAACCGTAGGGGTCCTGGGGCCGAAGCTAGCCGAAGGATCGGCCGAAGGATCGGCCGAAGCTACGGCTAGATCCTTCGGCAGCTTCGTGAATAGACCCCTATATCTCCGAATGTTTGTGGACACCTGACCATTACACCTATATGAGTTTGTTGAACAACCCGTTCCAAAACCATGACCATTAATATGGAGTTGCCCCCTTGTGCAGCTATGGCAGCCTCCATTTTGGAGTGTGCCTGTAGGTATTTGTGCCCATTCAGCCAAGAGAACATTCGTGAGATCAAACGCTGATTTTTCATGAGAAGAACTGGCTTGCAATCACTGTTCCATTTTATCCCAAAGGTGTTCAGTAGGGTTGAGGTCAGGGCTTTGTGAAGACCACTAGAGTTCCTCCTCACCAAACTCATCAAGCCATGTCTTTATGTAGCTGGCTTTGTGCACAGGGGCATAGTCATACTGGCTTAGTCATACAGCCTTCAAACAAATTGCTACCACAAGGTTGGAAGAGCTTAATTGTCTAAAGTGTCTCTGTACAGTGCAGCATTAAGAGTACCCTTCACTGGAAACACCTGCATTCAATCATTCAAAGTGGTGTCCATATGTTTTTGGCCATATAGTTGGTATAATAAAAACTTTTACATATTCCTCCATAGCCACAAAGGATATAAATCCACTTTGCACCAAATGCCTTTGCACACCCTTACCTTTTAAATGTAGCAGTGACATCATCACTGTGCTGTATATAACCTGTGCAGAGAGCGGAGCTATGGGAGGTACCCTGCAGACTCCACCCACTACAGGGTTCCTGCAGATAACTATAGGAGGGGGCGGAGACAAGACCAGTCACCCTGCACAAGAAGAGAGCGCAGCAGTAAGCGGTCTTTATTACAGGATGGGGTAGAGGCAAGACCAGTCACCCTGCACAAGGAGGGAGAGCAGCAGTGAGCAGTCTTTATTACAGGAGGTGGTGGAGACAAGACCAGTCACCCTGCACAAGAAGAGAGCGCAGCAGTAAGCGGTCTTTATTACAGGAGGGGGCGGAGACCAAACCAGTCACCCTGCACAAGGACAGAGAGCAGCAGTGAGCGGTGTGTGTCCTGTTTGCTCTGGTTTCCAGTTTTTGCAGGGAATTTGATCCAGCTATCCCAGGCCTCCTGGCCCCTTGCTGGGGTAGCCATGGAGGTCGGGGGGACTTCGTCTGGGAGTTCTCAGCCATGTCCTGAGCTGAGGAGCGAGATACCTGCTGGTGCAGGTGCTTGTAATTTATCTGCCCCTGCTGAGGGTGAAGGAGCTGACTCCATTCGGGAGAGAGTGGTCACCGGCATCCGGATGGTGAACAAGGAGAGAGACAAGCTCTATAAGCTTAGAGCGGAGTGCAGGCGGCTGAAGAAGCAGCGCAGTGGGCTGTACAGCCAGAACCGTGCCTCTTTGGACACAGAGATCCGGCAGTTGAAAGAGCAGGTGGAGCTCCAGGAGTCCATTTTGGCCCAGCTGAGTCTTTATTAAGGCAGTTCCAAGTTTCACACAGATCTGGAAGAAATACACAAAGCTCACCATAATTCAAGGAAGAATACACATGACTCTTATAGACAATATTTGCTTATCCCGGGGTTCAGGTTTAAGACAAAAAATATTTCAGCGCACGGTTTAGGCACAATTAACATCTATAAATGTTCCCCAATGAGACAGCCAATCTTTACTTTTTGATGTCATGTCTGCTTTAATACAAATACATACCAGGAACTCATCAGAGGCGCGACATGGCGGTACGCCATCTTCTCATCCTCTGACAATCCTCTTCACAGGCCTCATTAATGCTCTTTTAAATGCCAGGACCCTAATTACCCCTGCTTAAACAGTCGCTTTTAAAAACGACTAAGGACTGTGAAATACGTATCCCAAATGTAGACCTTATCCCTGACATCCCACCAGAGCTCCGGCGTACATACTAATTAAAAAGTCTTGTAACAAGAGATGATTAATTATGAAGTTTCAGAGTTGTCAGTCACGAGAAAATCGAGCCCAAAAAAAAATAAAAAAATAGAACCGCTGAGGTTCGGAGATAAAATGTACACACAAAATAAACAGGACTGGACTGTTGCCCGGGCAACCGTACCGAGAGTTGCTATGGCGCTGGAGAGCATACATTACGCTGACCTGACTCACGGTATAATTAATTTGTGTACCGAGCTCCGTTTTAACCTCTGAAGGGGCTGAAGCCACCCGTAAAAATAAGACAGCTGCTGTGCCGCGCTCTTTTTTTTATTTTTAAGGACAAAGTTCACCTTATGGAAGTCTATGCTCCTTCACTCCCCGCAGCAGATTTAGATTTTGCAGTGGCCGCAGGTGATCTGTCCATCTGGCCGCTGCGGTGGCCTCGTCCTGGCTGTAATTACAAGCTGTGTTCAGTGCGGGTCACTGCAACTTCTGGAGAGAAGCAGCACATGCAGGAAAGTTTTAAGACAGGGAAGAGGGGCCAAAACGTGAGCAGTGTGTGACTCCAAGGGGTGTCCAAACAAATCTTGGGCCGCTAGTTGGGAAAGGGTGGCAGTGGTGAGTGTCAGTGGTGCAGGTCCAGGGGGGGATGTGTAGATGCTGGCAGTGCAGGTCTAGGGTGGAGGGGGGGATGGTGCTGGGTTAACTTCAAATAAATTAACATTCTGCTATCCTAAAAGGATTCTGGTGTGCTGATGACATCATTACATTTTGGATTGTGAGGGGCACACACAGCACCTATGTCCGGCATCCCATCCAGCTCACTGATGCCACAGGTTGCTCTGACCAGAAAGAGTTCTAGCTGGAAAGGCGCCCAATGTGACCCAATGAGATGCCATCTGAGGCAACCCTTTAAACCAGTCTTAGAGGACCTCTATTGAGATAAATATTATTCACTAATTTCTGCATATTCCTAATACATCTCATTACCATTCCACATCTGAGTTCCTTTTTATGTCAGATACCTACAATTATACAATTCTGACAAGCAGGCCGCTAAAGGTGGCAGTGGCAGGGTTCGGAACAAACTATATCACTGCCTGAGCTGTTCGAGCAGTCGCTGCCCCGTGGAAAATTTTGAATGGGTTTGAGCAAAAGGTTGACTGTTGTAAAGCCTTCATGAAAGTTATCTTCTCTGTGCAGAACTTCTGATCTACCTTATGATTGGGCAGCATCTAAGTGACATCACTGCTTGAACACCATACCAAAGGGTATGATAGCTGGGGAAAACTCTGTAGTGCCCCCTATCCCTTTGGTGGTGGTTATTTTGCTTGATGGTAATACAGCCCTGGGCTGATGGGGCAGACTGGTGTCTATCAGACATGCTGGAGGGGGTCGGA